TACGACTCGCTAGTGGATAGAGTTTTCCCAAATTGCTTAAAAGATTAATAAAATAATCAACTTAGCAGAGGGAAAAAAAAACAACCACAAACTATTCCTGTAAGAAAATCACTTTATTGCATATACATGTGAATGAGCTGTTTTAATACTCAGGTTCATTGCCTCCTCTGCATTTAATCTCTTCCCTTTTATGTCCTACTCTGATTTTCTTTTTAAAGACTTTCAGGCTTTTTTTAAATTAATTATACAAATCATTAGTATTAAAAAGGTAATATAATGGTTTCAAGAACAAGCTTCACAGACTATCTGCATATTTAATCATCTCCGCTAATAAATTTTTAATCACTCATTGAGTTCAGGTTCTTGTCTTGAAGCTTAACTTGATAACAAACCTAGCAACTGGTAGAACTAATTGGTACAGAGTAAGTGAATAATTTATAAGAGGAAAAAGCACTGGGTGTTCTGGAGGTGTGCGGAGACCACAAGTCACAGATATTTCTGTGAGGCAGCAGGAAAACAGCAGCTGATTACAGGGATTTCGTGATACGCTGCTGACATCCAGAGGCCAACAGTCAATACTGTTCACATATGTGAACTAGGCTGTAAAGTGCGCTGTAAAGCCAGATTCATTAAGTTTTAAATATTCATGCATTTCATTAAAGTTAACATTAATTGCACTACCATACACATTGATTATGCATAGACCGTAAGTGTTTAACCTCTGAAAGCTTGCGAGTATATTCAAGTAATGGGGTATGTCCCATCTTCGACACTACCATACACATTGATTATGCATAGACCGTAAGTGTTTAACCTCTGAAAGCTTGCGAGTATATTCAAAATCATCTTCGATGATTTCAGTGAAAGCTTCAGCTACAAAGCTGAAATTAGAAATGGAAAGCGTTACAGTGCTAAGGAACAGTAGTTTGAAATATCAGAACTGGAATAAAAATAATTCTTTTACTAACCAAAGAGAAACACCAATGTAAGCTCTAAGTTGCCTAGTATTTTTCTAAACTGAAGTACTAAAGGTGACAAAAATTATGGGTAAAATCTCTTACTGACAATTGCTAGACTGATTTGCAAGCTACAGCTATTAAATCGGTTTAAGTAGTTAAAACTAATTGGTGGCTGAGCAGCTTCTATTTAGACGAAGATGAGTAGCTTTTAAACAATGTTACAACAACAGAAAAAGTCTATTCTCTTGAAATAAGCTGATTTGTGTCTTAAAATGAGGCACCCCAAACCCACTTACACTACAGAATAATTCTACCCCCAGGGAAGCACAAAATGCTGCAATTCTTAAATCAGGATGTAACAGACATTTGACAGAAATTCAATTATCCTTGAAAGATCCCACTTGTAGTTAGTTACATACGTAATCCTCTTTTATTTAATAGGTTAAAGCTCTCTCTCAAAACATTTAGTTTGATGAACTGAAGACTTGCTACATTTCAAAAAATTCATTAAGTGACTTAATAAGATTGTTAAGTAAAAACACTCAGAAGTTAAAAAATGTCATTTAACGCTGCCCATACAACCTTAATTCTGGCCGTGTATGTATATGCATTATGAAACACCAGCGAATTAACTTTTAATCTCCTCTGAGCCAAGAAGATTTTAAGATTGGAAACTAAGGCACAAAGGGCATGCCAACAAATACGATGCTGAGCTTTAGAGCCATCTCTGAACTAGCTCACATCTTGCAGAGCACACCCCTGCAGGGCTAATTACCCCAGATAGCGAGCTGGGCTCGTACATTTTTATCCTGCTTCTGGTACCTCCGCGCGGCGAGCTTAGTTCTCTCTTCCTGGCACTGTACTGCACTATGCAGACACAGTCACAGAAGTAGGAAATTTTAGATGTGAAGAAAGCATGAAGTGTTTGTCAAATATAATGCTTCAAACTTAGATGCTTTGACGCTGATTTTCCGTGAGGAAGTTGAAGACTGTAGATTCTGATCTCCCCAAAGTAAAGGTTAAAACACAGCAATTCCTTATCTATTTTAAAAAAGAAAGCCCTCTGCAAACAATACCAATTTCGATTGTAATTTAGAAAAAAAAAACACAAACAAACAAACAAACTAAAACCTAGTCCTCAGATGCTGCGTGAAGTGAATATAAAATTGTCCACACTTTGTATAGAAGCAAACCGTTGGAGACAGATAGACTGGCTTGCCCAAAATAGTAGATTTCTGCCTGAGCTGTTAACAACTCCCGATTAGCCAATTTTCTTCGTGAAGGTAGGCACCAAAGTGTAGTATTCCTAATTAGAAGCCACAGTTAGCACACTAAAATTCTGTTTAAACAGCATTGCCTACACCCTCAAAGAACTTTATGGTCAGACATATCCTGGGTGGTATCATAAAAAAAACCTTGTCATTTTTCCGACAAGAAAATACTGGTTGCTAGCAAGGATCTTGCAAGTTCTATATCAACCACCTGTACCATTTAGCATGTTTTAGTCTGCGATATGAAAGACTTTTTTCTTTTGAGGGGGGAGGAGTGGATTTTCAGTTTTACACATTAAGACTACCTCCTTCACACTTATTACTTCAGTAACCGTTAAACAAGCAGGTAGCCTGTTAAGTCATTTTATTAGTTTTTACTGATGTGTTTTTTTTATGAATACAGCTCAGGAAAGGTATGCACATTTGTAAAAAGAAAATTTTTCTATTCTCAGCAAGATTTCAGTTTTGTTTTTAATAAAGAGAGCTGTCAAAATGCAGGAGGCAACAATTTACAGAGTAAGAATGCTTTGAATACTTGCCAGTTAAAAACTTTCAGATACACAAAGACCATGTTCATAAAAGTAAGTTTGTTTTACCTGTTGTCTTTTTTTTAACGTTAAGAGTGTTTTTTTCCAATTGTGAAATAAAATCTGAGAAAGCAGGCAAAAATTCTTGATGGTTGATGCCACTTCACCACATGACATAATCCCCACATTCTCTTCTCTTTTCTGATACATCCAAAGGTGACAGATACTCACTGAGCAGTTAACTTCTGTACTCCTCATGCCAACAAACACAAAAACAAAAATAAAAATTATGGCAGAGATTTCACATGTCCAAGTAGAAATGGACTACAGCAGGCAATTCATTTCCTTTGTCAGAATATGATCAAAAAACCCCAGGAATGCAGAGGAAAATGTTTCCCTTTATTCTATACCAATCTTTGAAATAATACTAGGCCAGAGAAGTAATCACATTATAAAACTAAATCTGAAGAGGTTTTTATTAAAGCTATGTTTTTGTAATTACAATTTCAAATTATACTCAAGGTTTAAGAGTTAAAATTATGAGACTGTGAAGAGTTTTACAAGGCATTCCTAATGTAATGAGCTTAGGCGCCACATATGTTGCATCCTTGGTACACGTTATGAAGAGTTGCTTTTTTAATGAGCTTTAAAAACTGTATTTGCATACCAGAGGAAAAGGTCAGTGATGTGTGGATCAAGTCAGTAAATTAAGTATCACAGTATTATGTTATTGTGACTGCCTTCCACAGACACACAATAACAAAACCATAGACTGTCGTTACCGCGCTGTTCTAATGCTTCCATCTACGTGACCTCGTCAGCTTGCGTACACTGGTGCTGCTGCACCTCGGGTCCACCTTACGCCATCACCAGGCCTCCTTCTCCTTCCCTCCCCACCAAATCCTACAGCGGAACAGCTGGTATCACGTCAGAGACCAACGCCAGCACACAAAGGAGGGGCTGGATTCAGTGTGCAGAATCCAACTGGCCTTTACCCCAAGTAAAGATACCCAGAGCCAGGTCCTGAACCCTTGTAAAAAGACTAAACCTACCAGACACCAAGGACAGGGATGCCTCTTTCAACCCAAGCCCCATTCCACTCGAGTCTTTGTCCAAGGATACAGCAGTATCATCTCTCTTTCAAAACACAGATACCAAAAGTATTTCTATTGCGATGCAAAATTTCACTCGGTCCTACTGTAACAATTCGTTTTAGCTGGAACGTTAGATGTTTGGTTATCTCTAAAGACTGGGTGACTGGTAGCTACATTGGAGTTTTATTGTGCCAAATAATAAAATAAGCTAGGAACAGACTGCAAACACACTCTTACCAGGTTTTCAGCCAAGAGTAAAGTTCACTGGATTTACCTTTATTGGTAAGTATTATAAATATGGTAGATTTGCAAATGTTATAACATTACCTTTATTTTTAAGGGCAATTGAAGTTGATTTCCTCCCCAACTTTCTAAAAACCCATAATACTTAAATGGTCTCCCTCTCTCTCTCTGTTAGAGACAGTAAGTATACACTAAACCATGTTCTGAACTACCTGATCCTTTATGCATGTTTATACATATCACAATAGAGTGATACTCTAGCTCTGTATAAAGATGTAGATTTAGTCACCAGAATAAGGAAAAAAAATCTTTCAAAATATTACAACAGTAATAGCACAACTCAGCACAACCGATCAGTTAGAAGTAGTTTTAATTTAATTAATCCTCAAAGTAGCATTCAAAAATATAGTGCAAAATATTTATTCATTTTATTTACAAATAAAATGTGCAGTTCAGCTTCTTACCCTCACCATGGTGAAGGTTATTTTTCTATGTGATGAATAGAAATTATGAGAAACATTTCAAGAGACAAAACGTTAATTTTAAACCTAAGAACAAAGATTTTCCCTTCAGTTGTATTTCTGTAGAAGTTACACAATATCATTCTTTTACAAATGGGTTTCAGTTGGAAAAAAAAAACAAAACAAAACAAAGAAGTCCAAGACAGCACTAAAGAATTACATACGAAATAAGGGTTTTTTAAAAACGTAAAATTAATTTTGCTGTGACAATAACAAAGCAAAGTTCCCATCTATACAGAATACCATTTTATTTTATTTTTTTGCAGCTTGAACATATAATTTTTATAACACAATGCTTTTTCCCTTCTTACAATACAAATTGCCTTTAGTGGAAAAAGTATTCCAGTATCTTCCTTCCCCTGTGACGAAACAACAGATGCTTTGGTTAAAGAGCAATTCGTGCACAATAGTGTTTTAACTTGCAAGGCAGTACTCCTTTATTAAGTTGGTAGAATTCCACTAGCTGGATGAGATCAGTAAATCTGGTATGACCATCATCAAGGGTATAGAATAACTTCCCATCATCTTCCAACTGTAAAAATGCAAAAACAAGACAGAATAAAATCCTCTTTTGCTATGGTATTTCTTCCTGATTGAGAACTCTTCTTGTAGACCAAGGTACAGTGTGTATATACACAATGTGTATATGTACGTATGTATAATCTTATGAATACTCACAGAAGGAAGAAATAGAGTGATCATTCACAGCAAGATCAGAAATAAACAACAGGAAAAGAACATTCTTTAACTTCATATTTAAGTTAGTTACATGCTTAAATGGAAAGAACAGTTAAACAAGTATAGGAATATTCTTTCTGCACTCACAATACTGCTTCATGTCTTTTGTACGGAGTGATAGCTGTAGTTGGTATGAACACCGAGTTTTTACAGAGTGACAAGGAAAAACCAAGTCTCAGCTTAGGCAAAGCTTTCAGCCTTTGCTCCATTCACAGTCTGTGAAACTGCTACATTTTTTTTATCACTTCCTTTGCAAGGTGCAGTGTGGCGAGCAGCGCCCATCAGCGCACCCCACGGTATTTACTGCACAAGAAACTGCCCAGGGCAAAGGTAACATGCTTGATGCAGCAGTATGTCCTTTGTTGTAGAAGAAAGAACTACTGCAGCTCCAAATGCATGTATTAGCACAGAGAAAGGAGAGAAAGAAGAAACTGCAAAACATACCTTGAAAAATTACTTTTGACTTTTAGATGCTTAAAAAAATAACAATCAGTATTACCCTGTTCTAGGTTACTGACCAGTAGCTCTTACACAATTTGTATTGCACTGCTGACTGTACACCTTCTCACTTTATTCCCTCTGCTGCTGCTATGTCTAATATCAAGAAGCTTTGGTGTAACAGTGACTAATTAATACTAATGTAAATAGAGGGGGAAAAAAAATCCTATTTACACTGTTTTTAAAAAGAAAAGGGAAAACAAAAGATATTTTATGAGACTGTGAGTAGTGAACAGAAGATCCAGAAGTAGAGCTAGACTAGAGCAGCAGCTGGTATGCTAGGGAAAAATGCAACTATCCTACTTGAGTACAGGGAAGGGAGAAGACATAATTAGCTCTCTTACCTGTAATTAAGATTTCTCATCTGAAGCAGCTGATGAACTGCTTATGACTCCTGGTTATTCTACCCCTTTCTACCCTGCCTGGAAGTAGTCTGTCATTTCTTTATTCTCAGACTTCAGTCAATCCAGGTCAAACACTGCTACTTAAGGAATTACCAGTGTGTGCGTGTGTGAACTCCTGTGCTCCAGCCAAGAACCTGAAAATGCGTTATCATCCTTTGGACTTGCCTTATGCACGCAATTTTTCCTGCCGATACACTGAAGACAAGGAAGAGTTGACAATTCAGATGTCTGCTGACTGGGATTTCATATTCAGCTTCTTTTTCTCCCAGCAAGTTATTCCCAAACCTTGAAGTGAATACCAGACAGGTTGCCAATTCTAAAGCTATCAATATTTTGTAAAATAGAAACTCCTATCAAAGTTATGTTGCACAGGAACATAACATGCTCTGAAACCTAACAAGGCTGACATGAGAGAACATTTATTGGAAAAAGACAGTGCCAGAAATGTATATCAAATCTGCTTATGGAAAAAAACCCTAAAATGCAAGAGAAAACTAAGTAATATAAAAACTAAATTATTTTTAACTTGTAAAAAGACCTTCTAAATGTCATTTATTTATTTATCTTTGGCAAGAAAGTTTATATTCTCACCCCAATAAGTGGAAAAAGGCAAGAGTTTAGAAGAACAGTAGGAACTTATTTTTCTAGTAAATACAGAGCACGCGGTAAGTCAGGGTATTGAGAACAGCGTGTAGGTACTGAATGTGACTGGAAACTAAATAACAGAAAGGAACTGAAATATATTTGAGCATATTCACGTTCTCTCTCTGGATTAACTTGCTCTCACTACAGATTTATTTTTCTGGTAACTAGCTTAGGATAAACTATCTTACTTTAAAAATAACAAAAACATTTTCTTCAAGTAAGAGAGGTTTTGCACTGAAGTGATACAAGTCTTCTAGACCATTAGCATGAAAAAAATTGATGCAGATCTGTAGACAATCTGTATTAAAACAAAGATTTCCTGGTTCCTCCAAAGATCCGACAACAAGAAAGCAAGGATTTAGCATGTGTGTATATAATTATTTCCTCAAATGCACTGCTCACATATGTAGAAGAACATTAGAACTGACTGAATAATTATTTTTTCAAGGGAAGAGGAGAATTTTCCAGCTCTGAGGAAACTGAAGACAACGGCAGCTTCCTGTTACATTTGCCCTTAGAGAAGAGTTTCCTAAGAGGGAAAGAAAAAGTGGTCTCTTCTATCTGAGAGTTAAACGATACCCCAACAAAGTTGAACCATACAGCACTAGTATGGAGCTGAGAAGGTTTTCTAAACCATACAGCAATGTAAATACTAAAAGCACCCACAGTCAGCAGAAGCCCAGATATCTTACCCCTGGGATTCTGATCATGGAGCACACACTGATGCTCGCATGGGATCCAGAGCACAGTTATCACTTTTGGATGAAGGACTCCTCCATTGTTTGTATCCAAACACAATTAAAATCC